AAGTTTGAAAATTACAGATCTATCAATCCCCAGTTACAGGTGAGGAAACTTTGGTGTGATCTTGCCCTACATTTTCTTGTCAGAGTCAAGACTGGAATCCAAGTCCTCTCACTATGCTTTGCACTGTTCTATGATACAGGTCAGCGAACTCAAAGAATAAGAAGACACTGCCTGAGATCGATCCACCCATGTGTGTGATAATCACTTACTTTCGAAGAGTAACACTTGGGCTGCTATCTAGCCACCATGCTGGGAGAAAGCCCAGTTCACATTTGAGGATCAAACTACAGTTATAATTTTTTGTACTAAGTATTCAATAAATACTGGCCAAATAATAGAATATTTCCAGGAACCAGTGAGAAATGTAATTGAAAATATTTGGAAAACTGTAAAGGACTAACAAACACAAGTTTCCTAGTATGTTAAAATACACTGGAGCTATTAGGCTTCCTCATTTAAAAATGGCATCTGCTTTGGGGTGCCTGGGTGGCTCAGCCAGCTAGGCGTCAGACTTCGGCTCAGGTCATGATCTCACATTTTGTGGGTTCGATCCCCGCATCGGGCTCTGTGCTGACAGTTCGGAGCCTGGAGCCTGCTTCGGATTCTGTTTCTCCCTCTCTCTCTGCTCCTCCCCCATTCATGCTCTCTCTCTCTCTCTCCTTCAAAAATAAACAAAAACGTTAAAAAATTTTAATGACATCTGCTTTGAATACCTACAGGGGTTAAAAATTCAATTTTGTGACTGTGCGCTAAATTGCGACTACCATAATGTCAAGAACAAAATCTTAGCTTTCTGTGACAACAACAAAAACCTGAATGATAGTGCAAACTGAGCATGATACAGTGAATAAGTAATACAAGCTTTCTTTTTCTTTTCTCTTTAAATTAGTTCACTTTTAAATTACAAGTTAAGATAAACGCTATCTAACGATAGCCCTGTTCAATTACAGTAGTATGATCTGCATCTATACCAAGCAATCCATCAAGCGGATTTAAATTACTCATATAAACCCACGCCAAAGTCAAATATTACTTGTCTGTTGGTGACAAAAACTGATTTCTAGGGGCGCCTGGGTGGCTCAGTCAGTTGGGCGTCCGACTTCGCCTCAGGTCATGATCTTGCGGTCTCTGAGTTCAAGCCCCTCGTCGGGCTCTGTGCTGACAGCTTGGAGCCTGGAGCCTGTTTCGGATTCTGTGTCTCCCTCTCTCTCTGACCCTCCCCCACTCAAGCTCTGTCTCTGTCTCTCTCAAAAATAAATAAACATTAAAAAAATTTAAAAAAAACTGATTTCTGAAGAAAAAGGAACCTTTAAAAATACAGCCAGTTTTTTTTTCTCCCAATGAACACACTAGAGAGAACCTATTATTAATTTTAAATATTTGCAATACCATAAAGCCCTTAGATATTCTGAATTCCTGGAGAGCAAGAGCTGAGTCATATTTGTCTTTAAGCCTCCAGAGTTTAACACAGAGCCTAGTACATTCTAGCAAATGAAATATATGAATGTCGAAAACAGACTAAACTGAGAAGCAAAAGTGGGTTCAATACAACCAATAAACCAGGAAACTTCTGTGGATCATGACCCGCGAGCACCATGATTGTTGGTGTATTTTCCTTCACCTACGGTCAACAAGACTATAGATGCCATTTCACTTTATGTTCAACTCTCTATAATTTAAAAAACTCTTCTCAAGTGACTTTCTTTAATATGATCACAGAAAAATAAGTAAACATGGTGATTTTATACAAATAGTTAATAAATGTGAGTCGGTATATATCAAATTTCTGAAACATGCCAATTCACTACAGAACTGTAGGTAGAGAGATAGACAGACCTAGGTAGATAGATAGACAGGTAGATAGAGATGATAGATAGATATGATGACAGATATGGTGATGATAGATAGATAGCAAGACTAACAATAATTTCAATTTAATTATATGTATGTTGCAAATGTATAAATAAGTTTTTACTCTTTTGTACTTATGCATATGAAAGTCACTATGACTAGTTTAACTAACAGCTTACTTAAAATATAGCTAATAAAGCACAGGCAAGTGAGCAACTGTCCCTGTGGAATTCTGTTTTGCGGGGAGAGAGCCCAGGACTCCCATTACCTTTTGGTCACGACCCCAGGTGTGACAGGGGCTGCAAAGGAAATAACTCTGAGCCTCCATTTCCTACCACTCACAGTGTGGACCATAATCCTCATCTTCATTTAATGTATATCAAGCTACAAGACTTGTTTAGTTTATATTATTATTATTGCTTATTATTATTCTAGAAAAATGAGGTACTTTCTTCTCTCTTAGTCTAAGAACATAATTTCATGGCTAGCGACGTGGCATGCAGGCAGATGAATTCCTCAGAAAACTGTACCACAAAATCTATTTCTTTCTGGTTAAACAAATCTATTCTTTCTGTGTAGTAAGCTACACAGAAAGTAAGCTTTCTGTGTAGAAGCAGTTTCTAACTACTTCTAAACTTTAATGTCCTTAAGAATAGACTTCATCTTGGGGCGCCTGGGTGGCGCAGTCGGTTAAGCGTCCGACTTCAACCGGGTCACGATCTCACGGTCCGTGAGTTCGAGCCCCGCGTCGGGCTCTGGGCTGATGGCTCAGAGCCTGGAGCCTGTTTCCGATTCTGTGTCTCCCTCTCTCTCTGCCCCTCCCCCGTTCATGCTCTGTCTCTCTCTGTCCCACAAATAAATAAACATTGGAAAAAAAAAAAAGAATAGACTTCGTCTTGTTTTTCCCATAAACCCCAACAAATCGTGTTTTGCATATAAATGACAGTCTGGACAAGCTTATGACAACGAATGTATGAATTTGTGTTTAGTCTGAATTATGGATAGTAATGCCAGAGGTTAATTTTTCTGTACATACAAAGATGATATCCTATGCATTATGTTGAAGTAAAATGAAGTTATAACAAAATAGCTTTATATGCCAAATAACCTCAAAAAAAGAATTACCCAACAATTTGATCCCAACTCATAATGATATATTTACATACAAAATTTTCCCCAAATGACAGTTAGTGAGTCAATTCACTCACTGATACTTGAGCTGTTCCACAATAAATGCAAACAATCCATTGCCATCTGGATAAATATATGACTGAGAAAAGAATTGTCTCTGGTATCATTTGTTTATTTTGTAATTATATAAAATATGTTTTAGGGCTTTAATGTAGATATTTTAAATTATCTTTGTCTAATGATATTTGTTACAGCAACACCAAAAATATATTGGAAACATTTGTGTGTTGATAGTTTCTGATAATTTGAATGAAGGGAATTTTTGGAGCTTCTATCTTTTTTAAGATTCTCAAGAATTAGTATCATAAAAACAGCAAAGCAGTAAAGCATAAAAGAATTATTAGGAGTCTTATAAATTATTTGGACCTCCAACTATAGCAACACTGATTAATGACTGCTTTTTAATTAATTAAAGTTATTCAATCATTGTAACATTTCATTTTGCCTGAGATTTTATATGTAAGGGTCAGGCTGAAACATATGCTAGTTCAATGTGCAATAAGGTATACTTACATGTTTTTTTTCTTCTTGCCAGTACAATGTAAGCTATTTATTTCTCACTCATTCACCATGATAATGGTTACCTGCTTAGCTGGCTAGTTTGATCAGTGAAAACAGCCTTATGCATTAGAATATGAATACATTTTACTTTTAAACTCTGCAAACTCAAGCAAAATAAAGCCCACAATAAGCTATTCTTACTGTAAATCTTTAATTATCATGAGGTATGTGTTTAGTCTCTTTATTTTTCACATGACTGCATAGCATTTACCCCAGCAGACTTCCTTGAGGACTCTAAAATACAGTGGTCTATGAACAGATACTAGAACAGATCAGGGAGATACATATTTTAGAAATGATTATATATATGGATATATATGGACATATATACATATGTAGCATATATATACATACATATAGGTGTGTATATATACATATATATGTGTATATATATGTGTGTGTATTTATGTATTATGTGTCTAAATCCCAGTTCTACATATTTCCCAGTGAGGGCCAACATAAATAATGAGAATCTACTCATGAGGGTTTCCTAATTTGCATTTAAGTAAACTCTAGAGCCAGCATGTGCCCCAATCATGTCGATAGCCTAAAAGAAAATGAATTTCTCTAAATATGAAAAATCTAAAATTGAGACTTGGTGGTGCCTGCTTCACTGAGAAAGCACAAACTCTCGTCTCATCTTCCACAAGTTGGAGCACAAGGCTCTGGCTGGAGGTGTCAGACGTGCTACTATTGTGCAATGATGATGTTTTCGTGGTCTACATAGCCACTGGGGAGAAAGAGACCTTCCAGAACCACAGAACAAGTGATTAATGAACTATCTGCAGACTTTCATCTTCAGTTAAGGTACAGAAGCCTGCTAGTCCTACTTTGAAAAATATGCGCGTTTTGTGTGTGTGTGTGTGTGTGTGTGTGTGTGTGTATTAAGACGAAAGTCTCAGTAAGATTAGTTTTCTAATGAATGATCTTTTATTATGGGCAATATGTCTTTGCTAAATAAAAGTGATTTGAAGAAACGGTCTCTGCTTAGCTGTCACTTATTATGTATAAGCCATTAGAGTGAATGGTTCAGGAAGGTCTTATAGTCTATAACACAAACAATTCATTTTGACCACATTTGCCAAAGATCTTAAAGCTAAACTTTATTTTCTAACTACAGTATGGTTAAGCTATCCCCCAAGACTCGATGAGTAACATAGATGAGAGCTGACATGAAAGAAATGATGAGTAACAAATGTAACTGTAATCGGATGTGGTATAGGAGGAGAAAAAAGATGCCAAGCGTGAAAGCAGTCTTCAGGAAAACACCCTAAAGAAAACAGGTGTCCTCCAAAAAGGGAAGACCAGCATTCTGATCTCTTGACGATATGTCTGCTCTACAGCTCTGGCAGCTGACTGGATGATCTGCTCTCAAAGCCTGAGTACAGGGGACATACTTTTGTAAGGAGACGGCAGGACAGAGAAAGCATACGGTACAAGAGCAGCTTGTAAAACACCTGTTCAGCGTAACAAGGATGGGTGAATTTCCTCAGGGTCAAGTGGGCAAACCGAAAGCTAAAATTGAGAAATCACGTTATAAACTCACCCAAGAAGACTGCCTTCGATGCAAGGGGGCCATGGAATTGAGAAGCCAGAAGACCTACCACTGAGTGCTCATATCACGTTCCTATGCAGACGGGATGCCCAGAACCCGCACCGTCCGATAACTCAAAGTTCACTTAAGAAGACGATGTTTGGGCAGCAGCCTTTCCTGCCAGTCCATTTAGTCCTAGAAGCAGTGGCAGCCAATGGAGTATCATATCGGGCAGATAAGAGAGACTTGTGTGTTTCCCTCTCTCTTTTCCACTCTGACAGGCCGGAGAATGTGTACCCTACAAGCGAGGGGTCACAGTTCCAACTTATGGTGTCACCGAGTTCTGCAGTTATCTATTGCCATGCCGCAACAAATAACCCTAAAATGTAGTTGCTTGAAATAATTACTGTTTTAGACATTCTCACAACATTGTAAGAATCCGGGCAGGGCTGGTCTGGGCACATGTTCTGTTTCACACGGCATTGGTGGATGTTACACTGTGGTATTCAGCTAGTACACTTTCCAAGACAGTCTCACTCACATACTCAGCACCCTGGAAGGTATGATGGAAAGGTTGAGCTGAACTCGGATGGTCAACCTGAGCACCCACATGTGACCACTCTAGAATGGTAGCCTCAGGGTAATCAGTTTTTTTTTATGTGACAGGTCAGTGTTCCAAGAAACAAGGTGGAAGCTGCATGTTCTTTTTTGTAAGTCTGACCTTTAATAATCAGAATAACCTAGAAGTAATGAAATCCGTTAAAGACATCATTAGGGCCTCAGAATAGGTGTCTAACTATTCTTCTTTAGTCACAATTGTTGAAGATAAACGAAACTGTTTAATATTTACACCCACTGAGTGGAGACTGAACAAAAAACCCCTCAACAGAAATATTCCCATTCAGCTCTCCCCTGCACAGAAAAAGGAAATTAGCTGCCAAAGTAGCAGATGAACAAAATAAAATAGGAAGGGAACAAAATGAAAGACACTCAGAAGGGATTTCCCCAAGCCTTTCACAAGACCAGAAGCAGATGACTGGGAGATGCACTCATTTTGCAAACTACATCGAAAACGAAATGTCACCATTCCCCCGACTAATCTGTTACCTGAGGAAGCTGCGATAATATCCTAGGTTGTCCAGACAAACATATATGGCCCATGCCACTTTCAGTCTAGAGGATTGTCTTCTGGACCAAGCAGACACCAACACAAGGGATCAGTCCTAGCAATCCTATTGATTCTGAGGGATTCCTTAAAGAAAACCGCTTATAGCTCCTGCATATTCCACAGTGACATTTATAAAAAAAAAAAAAATCACATTAAAATTACATTCTACGAAAAAGAGAGAAGGGAGAGGGGTGATTTTAAGAATACGCTCTTCAGTTTGAGAAAATATTTCAGAATGGGCTATTTTGTGTGATAATGAATTCCTCCTGCCTGGCCTCTGAAGCTCCCAATATTGTATACAGGGGTCCGGCGTGGAAGAGAAGCTGGAAAGCTGGCAGACTTTTGCGGGCACAGCATTGAAAGGGATGAGGTCACACAATGAAATGCACTCACTGCTAGATATTCATGCAAGTCTGCAAACAGGGCTCATTGGCGGCTGTCACAATTTCTCCGGACTTACGCTACGAGGAAAAGGAACAGGTTTCTGAGTTTCCCCAGGAGACCACTCAGCTGTCAGTCCAAAAATGAAAAACACCTCAGCAGGGACTCGTTTAAGAGTGTTCAATCCAAAGAACTGCAGTATAACATTGATTCTGTCCATGCCATACTTACTAACTTTACTCGCAATTATGGAGAAATTATACTGCGCGGTGCTTTCTCTGTCTAGTAATTCATTAGTGGCGATGGTTCCTTCAGTTCCATCTATTGTAAAGTAGCTGTCCCCATCACTCTTCCAATCTATGAAGTACCTGTATATAAAAAGAGTAGATGCAAATGTGCAATGATTACACATTAATCATAATGGCAGTCAGGCTAACTTGACACAATTCCTTATTTTTCTCCCTGTAGCTATTACCCACCTTGCAATAAAGAAGAGTGTAAATGACAGCTTCTTTATTGCAAAGTCAGTATGCTCAAGGGGAAACTGGAAATAATGAAAGATTTAGTACTCCTGCTGTTCATATTATTTTAGGGTCTTGACACCTTGAAAGCTCAGCAGAGACGAAAATTCTAAAGCTGACCATGGGTTTCCTTAACCTGCTGAATATTAAAACTTTTCCAAGCAGTAAAAGATTCCTTAATGGTGGCTGTGGGAAGAACTGGGGGTGGGGGAAGCATCTGGATACAGCTACAAAGAACTTTGGCCAGAACAGAGGTAGAATCTTCATTTCCACACATAGGGGAAAAAAATCATATTATGGAAACTAAGGGGCAATTTTGTAACTGACACTGTGGAATTTATAGAGAAGTATTTCCCTCAAATACATATAAAGGAGACACTGTTGTTTTATTACTCTATGTCAGTACAACTTTCTAAAACAAACAGTGAGCAATGTCCCTTTATCTTCTTTATTAGTTAACCTTTTGATAATAACAGATGTTACCTTCTTTATGTGAAGAAGCTGAACTAGAACATTCCAAGAAAATTAATTACAAAAACCAGAAATTGCAATTATATAAATCTTTATGCAGCAGATAGAGTGAAAAGTCTTTTTCAAACACATATTTTCAATCATAGTAATAAGCATTTTGAAATCTTAGCATGTACCAGATAATGTTCTAAATGCTTACCTGTATTACCTTATTAAATCCCCACCAAAAAAAAAAAAAAAAAAAAGAGTTATTCATCTCCCCACTTTGCCTATGAGGAAACTGAATCGTCGAGATATTAAGGAATCTGCCTCAGTTCACATAGAAACTTTTAGAGTGGATATTTGACACACGTCGTCAATCTTTTCCATATCATTATCATTATGTAGTCTTACCAATTTTAAATCGAACTTTATGTGAAAGAGCTCTGCTCATCAAAAGGCTCAACGTGCAATATATTTATCACCATTACTGTGGCCTGGGAATCATGACTAGGTCAATACAAACAGACATCATCGAAGTGAGCCCATCTAAATCCCCAGGCCAAAGAATCCGGTTGTTCATTGTGGAGTTAGTTAAGCCATGCATTTCAAAGTAGAAAGTTATTGTTTTGACAAGTTGGTTATTTAAAACTGGGGCTAGAGGGGGCGCCTGGGTGGCTCAGTTGGGTAAGCATCCGAGTCGGCTCAGGTCATGATCTCACAGTCTGGGAGTTAGAGCCTCACACAGCCTCAGAGTCTGGAGCCTGCTTCAGCTTCTGTGTCTCCCTCTCTCTGCCCCTCCCCTGTTCATGCTCTGTCTCCCTCTCTCTCAAGAATAAAATAAAAACACTAAAAAAAAATAAACTGGGGTTAGTTTGCATCTCATTTCAGCACTAGACTAAAATCAATTGCTTTCATAGATGATATTTATGACTCTTAACTTGTTAATATTTGTTAGTAACTGCTAGGATCAGAGGATGGGCCATGCCGTTAGTCTGCCTTGGATACTTCCTTGGTTGATTTGAGGGGTGAGAAGGCATTGATGTCTTATGATTTCAATGTTGCATCCTGTCTCATAGGAATGCTCTCAGAAATAAATATTACAGAAATAAATATATAAATGAACTTAAGGCACATTTACAGGTCAGAGAGGATAGAGTATAATAGAGCTATCTCCCTATCACATAATCTCCTTTTCTGAACACGGAAGCATTTTCTCACAAAACCCCTTTCCAGTACCTTTATTCAATTGAGCATAAGGATAATTTAGAAGAAAATGGCTACTGAATCTCCTTAGTGACTATAGCATTTCTGGAGGAAATTGTCGGTGTAGAGGAACTGGGTCCGATCATACAATTCACTAAATATTTTCGGAGTGCCTGCTATATACTAGACACTATACTAGAGTTGAGAAATACAGTAAAGCACAATGCCCACCAGTGAGAAGTCCAGCTGGGAGACACAGACAATTTCAGCGCCTGATAGGAAAGAGAACACACCAGGAGTGCAAGGAAAAGACGCCCAGTTCAACACCCGTTGGTTCAGGCAAACTTTCCTTCACATGACGTTTGATGACATTAGAAAGTGATACAGGAATCATTTGGGACAAGAGTGAGGTAGACAAAGTGAGGAGAGGAGGAAAGACATTTCAGGAGGCTGCGACAGCCATAGCAAAACCATGTTGTGTGGGGGTGGGGGGGAGCTAACTATAAGCTGCTGGGAATCATGAAAAAATATCTGAAAGGCACAATCATATGGAAAAAGTTCAAAGATTTAGGTCAAGGAGGGTGGTATAAAGTACACTGAGGAGGTGGGGCATGTTTCTATGGCTAATGAACATTATCAAGGGGGATAATTTGTAATCTGGTAGGGCCAGGGAGTTGATGGTAATTTCTTTTTTTTTATGTCTTTATTTAAATTCCAGTTAACATAGAGTGTAATATAAGTTTCAGGTGTACAATACAGCGATTCAACACTGCCCTACACCACCCGGGGCTCATCACAGCAAGTTCGCCCCTTAATCCCCATCACCGATTTCGCCTCCACCATCCACTCACCCACCTCCTCTCTGGTAACCATCTTTTTTTTTTTTTTTTCTTTTGGTCAAGAGTCTGTTTTTTAGTTTCAAAGTCCTTCCCCTCTGATACCTAGTCTCCTTGTCTTCTAGGATGTCCACTTAACAGTAACGGTGAGTGTTGTTGTAAAGATGAAATGAGATAAAATATGTGGGACTCGGCATAGAATCATGCGTTTGTGTACGTGTGTGTATCCCTTTTCTCTTTCCACATTACCGATTATTTCGTTTTACTTCCCAGATTAAAAAAAAAAAAAAAAAAAAAAAGATTCCCTAACATAAAAACATATGCTTACTACTGGGACCAAGTTGTGACATTCAAAGTCTTCAACTTTAAAATTCCTGAACCACAGAGCTCCCACGCAGACCCCTGGGGTACAAACCATGAGCACAAACATCCAGGCCCTAGTTCACACAATGGTGTTTTTCATTTGGCACTCATCCACTATTGTCTGGCGTCTAATTTTTAGCTCCGTCACCGTATTTTTTGGTGCCTCCTTTCTCTGGATGTTATCCTTTCTGGAAGCTTTTTGCCTCCTTCTGGAGTTCTACTGAAACTTATTTGAACATTTTCTACTCAGCTAAATATCTTCAGCATCTTCCCATAACTGATCAGGCTCCAAGACTGTAGGTCCTGTAGTACGTCCTGGCATCGTCCTGATGCCCTACCTTTGGGTGACTGACTGATCCCTGTGCCTGATTGAACAATAACCATGAGGCAACAACTACCATTTTAAATTGTGATGTTTTGCCCAATATAGCAAGAAATGACCCCCATCAATGAAGTGGAAATGGAGGTACTCCTACATTTCCTAGACATTTTCAGAGAAGACATGACCATGTCCTAAAATGTCTAGATTATTTTCAGGAGATACACCCTTCCAGAGTGTAGATCACATGTTTACTTTAGGTTTGCCACAGTCCACAGCCAATCTAAGGGTAGAAGGATATTCTAATTGCAACTGCTCACAACAGTATTACATGAACTGTCTAATTTGGCCTCACTCACCTATATAAATGAGAAAACCCCTGAGATAGAGAATCTGAATCATGTTACCCTTATTTGGTAAGTAGATGAGATTTAAATTTTAAAAAAGGCGTTTATGATCTATATATAATGAAATAAATGTATAGTTCATGTAAGTATGCAACCACCGTTGCTAAGAAACCTGTTTTCACAATTGAATAGAAGTCAAAAATTAAAGCCTTAACTTAATCTTTGCAGACCACTTGACAGGGTACAATTTTATTACTTTTCTGTAAATGAGTTTTCAGAAATGCCTTAAAAAGTTTTCTTCTCTCCATTAGGTAAGCATTCTCCTAAAAATTGTGTCTTTTAATTTGCCTAATAACTTTCTCACAGTTAATGGAAAAGCTAAATTCTCAAACACATTTTGTAAAAAGTCCTTGATGGTCCAGAGTTACTCTAAAAGTATTACATCTCATTCTTTAAGCAATAAAGATGTAGGAGTAATGGTTCAGGTCAAGGTAGAAAATTTTCTTTTGTTAATATGATAATAACCAGAATCTCTTCATTCTGTCTTAGTCACTGTTTTGTTTTGTTTTTGTTTTCTTTTTTTTTTTTTTTTTTGAGGAAGATAATTAAATGAAAGTAAATCCCATTCAATTTATTTTCACAAACATTTTATTGAGAATCTAAGGCACATACGACAACACTTAGGTTATAGTCGCTTCATCAAGAATCACAATTAATTTTTTTTCTTAGAAATCCCAACATTTCTCTCAAACTTTGTTACATCTTAGTTGTTAGTTTCCTATTAATCCCTTTTAGTTTAGTTTTGTTTTGTTTTTTCTAATCCTCTTCTTCATTCTAACTTTCCCCTTAGGAAAATTAAACGTTATATCATAGACAGTATAGAGAGCTTCTCTTGTTGTTTGCTGTGAAATGAAACATTTTTATAAAATTATAATCATTTGGGGCGCCTGGGTGGCTCAGTCGATTGAGCGTCCGACTTTGGCTCAGGTCATGATCTCACACTCCATGAGTTCGAGCCCCGCGTCAGGCTCTGTGCTGACAGCTCGGAGCCTGGAGCCTGCTTCAGATTCTGTGTCTCCCTCTCTTTCTCTGCCTCTCCCCTGCTCATGCTCTGTCTCTCTCTGTCTCAAAAATAAATAAAAACACTAAAAAATTTTTTTTAAAAAATAAATAAAATTATAATCATTTAATAAAGTCATAAATCTTCTGTCTTTAAATTTTCCACTTGGAGGCACATAATATGTTTATAAATACATCCTTAAAGAAAGAGAAATACATCATAATCCACATTTTTATTAAAATTAGAGTTGTTATATTTTAATTTCC